GCTTGAGGTGAGTTTCCTTACTGTGTTTGGTGGGTCGAAGACACCAACGTCGGCTCATAGTTTATTATAATTAGGATGTTATTTGTCTACGTGACTCTTGCATGTATAATATCTTATATGTATACCAGGCGGGGCGTGATGATTATATTGTATGCTATTTATCTTTGTGATCCTTGCATGTGTTTATGTGTTTGTATGTATACCGGGAGGGGCCCGATGCCAGGCGGGGCCTGATGACTGACAGATCTGTTCAAAGCGGGTCTTGATGTTGGGCGGGGCCCATTATATGTTTGATATGTGTGGTATGTGTTAATTTGGGAAACTCACTAAGCATTGTGCTTACAGTTTTCAGTTTATGTTTTAGGTACTTCTGGTTCGAAAGGGAAGAGCTCGGGGTGATCGCGTCGCACACACCATATTGTTCCACATTTTGTTTAACTTCGATGTACTTGGATGATTTTGACATACTCTGATTTCACTATGGTCTTATGATAATGTTTTGGATATTGGTTTTATTAATATAAAAATTTGAAATTTTGGGACGTTACAATTTCTAGGCCAAATGTTACTTCATTGTTGAATTTTTAGGTCTTGGGTGTAAAATATTTACCATAAAACTACAACTTACTGATGGTTCTTTCATAATCGAACGACGCCTCAAAAGTAAAGGCTTATTAGAGGTTGTTATTCCTAAATAAAGCTTCATTATAAACTACGTGGCCTAGAAATGCACTTCTTACGACAAATCAACAAAAGTCTGTTTTTATGTTCATTAATACTTCATATTTGTCAAAAAACTGATTTTAACCTTTTACCAGTTTTTGCATCCTCATAGTCGGTCAGCATCACCATAAAAACCCTCATATTTACACATCACCACCATCACATTCTGTCACCACCACCACCCTTTGTCACCAACAACACCATCTTCACAACAAAACACTGGTAACCCCCGTCAGCACCATCTCCAACCCACCTTTTGCATTCTTCATCTCCGACCCACCATCATCACCATCGTTCACTTACTATTTTTCTCTTCACAACCTGATAAAAAGCCTAAAATGACAAAACTTACCTAAATATGACGCATTAATAAACACAAATTTGGACTTAGGACATAACCACACATTTCATGTAATATGAGGGCTTTTATGACAGTAAACCTAATATAAGAGATACAATAGTTATAAAAGCACATGCTAAATACAATTAATAAAATTTTTATTGATTTGTCATAATGAGTGCATGTCTAGGCCACATATATCACAGAGCTCGATTTAGGAATTGTATTTAGATGATATCTTTACGATTATAGTAATGATATTTATTAAAGATAATCACAAAAAAAATCCCCAAAATGATATATAAATTATCATTAATGTGTTTTTTAATAAAAACAAAATATGAGTTTTTAGTGAAAGGGGTGTAGATGGTATCTTTATCTTATGTTTTTTAATAAATAAATATAAGATTTCTCCAAATAAATTTAATATACATAAAAAAGAAAATCCTTAGAAAAAGCTTTAAATTTTAATCTTATTAACGAAAAAGTCATCCATGATTTGTTTTTTGTTTTGTTTTGTTGTTATTATTATATTATTATTTTCGTAATTTAACCCTTAAAACCGGCACTAACCGGTTACAAGGGTTGTTTTGCTAATGTTTACCAGTTTCAATGGTTAAATAACAAAATAAAATAATGGATGACTTTTTTGTCAATAAAGCCAATATATATGGACTTTTCAACAGATTTCGCGAGGAAATAAAAATAATATACCCACATTTATTCTTAGAAACCGTGATTTCAAGAACTTGATCGTCCTAAAAAGGGGGAGTTTAGTTGTAACATCCTTATATTAGGGATAATTGAAATTTGCTAAATAATTAAATTTGATAAAATAAATAATAATAAATAAATAAAATGGTGAAATAAGGAATGTATTGATTTTACATTTTATTTAGTAGTTTGGAAAAGAAAAAAATCTATGATAAAACAAGTTTTTTGGTTAAAAAAAAATATAAAATAATGGTTAATTTTTCTTTGAGAAAAAAATTTAGTATTTAACCAAGACATAATGAAATAAGCTTCTTGGGGACTAAGAATATAGAAACATTGTGGGGAAGGGTTAGAATGGTAAATATGGTAAGAACTAGTTGCTTATATTTCATTAATGGTCAAATTATATAATCGGAACTTTAGGGTAAAATTTGCCAAGACACATAAGATGAGAGGCCAACCATATTTCTATCTTCTTCACCATTTGCTCAAATTGACATGGAGAAGGGAAGAGCTAAGAGATCTAGGTGAGAATCGTGAATGTTGTTTGAAGAATTGAAGTTAAGGATTACTCTTTGAGTTTAGAAGGTACTATTCCTTTTGTTTCCTTCCTTAGATTCGACCCGGTGTCTGGAGAATCCTCCATTTGGTTGCGATTAATGACTTCTAAGTAGTTTCTAGTTCTATTTTGACATGTACTCTTCAAACTTCATGTAAATCTCATTTTCCTTTAGCCTAACGGTATCATAAGTTAACAGATAGGTGCCTCGTCAATCAGATGTTGAAGATTTAAGTGTGGTTGTGGACAAAAGGTGTAGATGTAGGAGTAGAGTGATGGGTATGTGTAAGGTGTTCTAAAAAATCCCCTCTGCCTTGTTTGATATGAAGTTTGAAGATGTTTTTGAAGCTTTAAATCACTAACAATGGTGGAATCTAAATGTAACTTGTTTTCATGAAATTGATAATGATTCTAAACTCATTTTTTCTATTCTCAAACAATGTTCAAGTTAGAAAATTGATCATTTGTTAGGAATTGCATCTATGGATCTATTTGACTTTTAACTTTGACTCAGGGCTTCAGTGGTGATTCAAGCTCTGCATATTACTCAACTTAACTTTTAATCCATTAAGCCTTATGGAAATGTAATAAGTTTGGTGCACTTGGTCAAACTAAAGCTTAATGTTTTACTATCTATGTTTATAAAAGGATTAAGGAGAAATTGGAGCTTGTATGATTTTTAAGAGAACTAAACTAAGCTTAGAATGTTCAAATTATTGGATCATCACTTGAAAGCCATATATTCATGTGTAATTTTGATATCATTTATCTCATAAATCATGTTTTCTATATGAATACTATAAGTAATTGTGACATTTATTAAATCTAATTAAAAAAGTACTATATTTGTTTGATTTAGAAAGTTATTGCTTGTTTTGGAATCGCTTTGGATATCCTATATATACATTCACTTAGGGTGAGATTGTGACCATATAATATGGGTAACCAATTTCAATATGATACATTCCTTTTGCGGGGTTGAGTTACTCCTCAAAAAGCAAATTCAAGATATTCCATATGTGGGTGTGAGTGTGGACCGACTATTATATGTGTGGTCTACTATGATGACTCACTAGTACCTAAGTTTATAGAATGAGTAAAAGTTAAAGGTTATGTTACATGCTCACTATTCATTAGCGCGTGTATTATGTTAACCATCATTAGGAATTTTGGATTATTTTGGATTATTGAGATTAACTTAAGTATTAAGATTAACTTGAGTTGGGATTTAGATGTATTTGTAATGCATCCTTTATCTTTTGTGTTTGATTTGTGGAATAACTAAAGGTATCTTTTTTGTTTTATTTGTGAAATAACTAAAGGCATTTTGGCAATGATTTTTTTTGGATAAAGACTCTTTCCTAATTATGTTGGTAGCTATTGGTTTTGAAAACTATTTTTGAAGGTTTGACTTTGAGTTTGAGTTTGGTAATTCACCATCATCCAAAACTTTTACGGAATTGACATTCGGTATACTCACTACATTTTTCATATCTAACACTTGTATTTTGGCATGTGCTTAGATTAAGGGAACTTGGTAAAGTCAGAGTGATGAATGCGATCATATTTATAAGGCTAGGACTTTGTAGTAGTTTCACCTTTGTACAATATTTTGAGACTAATTGTTGCTACCTCATATTTTGAGGGGATTATGACCCTGGAGGGTAACTAACTATTGAGTTTATTTTCATTTGGTCCTTTTTTTTGTATCCAATATACCATTCAACATGTTGTTTGTGTTCACCATAACCCTTTTGACCGGCTTTTGACCTGTGAAAGTCGGTCAAAGGGTTGGTGAACACAAACAAGTTCGATGGTATATTGGGTACAAAAAAAAAGGAAAGAGACCAAATGAGAACAAACTCAACAGTTGGTTACCCTTCAGTATCATTTTCCCTTTACCCATTTATAGAAAATCTCACGTCATCTCTTGATCATATTAATGACTTTATGATCTTGTACATATTGATGTTGTATCTTATCCCATGAATTCGATCTTAAAGCCAAGTAAACTCAAAATTCATAGCACTTGTAATCCCATTCGTTTGTAGACTTGTCTAGAATCCATTCACAGCGCTTAATCAAGATTACCCTAATAAATATTCAAATGCATTACAAAGTTCTACATGTATGAATAATGTTATTTCGTAGGTTATGTTTTGAAGAGAAACAAGAATGAATCTCATAAAATCATTAATATGAACAACTGTTGAGTTTGTTCTCATTTGGTCCATTTCTTTTTCTTATTGTACCCAATATACCGTCGAACTTGTTGTTTGTGTTCACCATAACCCTTTGACTGGCTATCACAACTCAAAAGTCGGTCAAAAAGATTATGGTGAACACAAACAAGTTCAATAGTATATTAGATACAAAAAGAAAATAACCAAATGAGAACAAACTCAATACTTAGTTACCCTTAAGAGTCATTTTCCCTATTTTGAGCAATCTACTTATTTTAGAACCATAGACCTTAACTCGGCATTTTGAAACTTTTATGCTATTTCATTTTATGAACTAAATTTAATTGGATTTTTTAAACTATTTTCAAATAACCCCGGTAATTGAAGGTCATACTCTCGTAAAAGGGAAAGATCACACAGATTGAACACCGAGTTAAAATAACCCATTGAGACATCAACGATATTGTAGACTAATGCAAGTTCAAATCATCAAGACATACAACTCTGCCTCAATTTCAAAGCAAAATCCAATATTTAATTGAATGCTAACAACCTTCAAATAACAAAAAACTCTGATAATAATTTGAAAAAACGTCTGGAAAAAAAGGGTTTTCACTATCTATACCTTGATTGCATACTTCCTCAATGGAAAGTACTTCTCTTTCTTCTTCTCCCTCTCTGTCTTCAAAGAAACCTACACAAACAAAATATTTCAAATCAACATTACATTCAGCCACTAGAATAACAAAAAACATTCCAACTATTTTCCAAAGATTTCATTATAACAATATTTTTTTGTACCTGATGTTTGGTGAGACGCCTGCGAATAGCTCTGGTTTTCTTGGGACGAAGGTCAAGAGGAAGGTACTTCTTGTTCTTGTAAGCTTCCCTGAGCATGGCTTTTTGGGTCTGTGAGATAACAGTCAGCACCTGTGCAATCGATGTCCTCACCACTTTTCTGTAAATAAAAAATAATAATTGTAAATATAATTATCAAATTACATGGAACTGTTCGCTTAAAAGAAAATATTCAACAAACACATCACAACCAGATAAATAAAGTTTAAATTACACGGATACAGAACTAAAGTTTTAAATAAGATTTCAGCCTTCTTGAATTGACATATTTATGATACGTTTTTTTATTGATCAGGCTTTTCATCATGTGGGTATTGGAATCTGTCGATTTACAAAAGCTTATATACAGAATGGCTAAATCAAAGAAGAACATGGGTGTGCATCTCAATGTTGTCAATTTTGAAGGCGTACATTATGAATGTGGTTGGATAAAACTAGATTTACCGATGAAAAAAATCGCATTAAACCATAAACTTGTTGCAAATGAACTGGCAATGTCTGAAATCTACAATATCAAGCGAGTATACAAAAACGTAGAATACGGCACGATTCATGCATATAGAGAGGAAAAAGAAATAGCTTACATCTTGGAGAGCTTGTTGGGCGCACCACCGGTGACCTTAGCGACACGGAGAAGAGCAAGTTCGGCTTTAAGATCCTTCAACTGAGCAAACAAGTCAGCCTTGGTTTTGCCCCTCAACTCATGAACTTTGATCCGAGCTGTATTTCACGTAACAATATGGAACAAATCAGACAACATTATACAAACAAAATCAAAAGATTCATTGGATCATCGAAATGCGAAAGTTACCCATTTGATTAAGTGTAATCAAAGCAGATGCAAGCTGCAATGGAGGGTGGAGGCTGCGTCTGAAAACCTAGATACGGAAAATGGTCGAAATCTTAGGGTTTAGTTATGGCGGCTTCCATTTATACGAAAGGGTCCACAGTCCACACGATACAAAATGGGCTTAACCCGGATCTCTTACAGATTAGATTGAATCACATTACAGAGATCACTAGTTGGCCCAATTTATTTCTTTCATACCGCTAGTACCGGTTTTAAAATCGGTTTGGTTTAATGTAAAATTAATCGCTTTGGGATAAAATCGGTTCATATTTAATTGGTTTTAATATCGGTTCGTTTATGCTTTTACCACTAGTTGAAATTTGTGGGATGTATGGTAAAAAGTTTTGAAACTTTAGGATAACGATTGGATACAAATCGATCAAGTGATATATATATAT